AATTGAAAAATGAGTTGTTAACAAATCACATGTGAGAGTAGTAAGCAGAACATAAAGAGCTGTTCTGGCTCCTTATACACCAAGGAGAGGTGTTGATTTCTACAGAGCCATGTAACGCTTGTGGAGCAGGGAATTGTTAGTTACAAATACTCCTTTACTAACTTACCAGAAGCTAAAACTTGGTATTTGTGACCATGTGCTCATAGCAGACCACTCTTCAAAAATATTAGATGCATCGCAGAGTACATAATACTTTGTTTTCTGTAGCAAAATACTAAATCTGCCCTACATACTCCCTTCTGCTACTGCTTGCTGTTCAGTTTGGCAGAGATTACAGTTAACTGTCCTTGATATTTTTCTTTGAAGCAGTTTATTTACTTTTCAGGTCTTTTTTTTTTTTTTTCTCTTAGCACGCAAGCTATTTCTTGTACTTTTGCCCTATTTGACAAGTTGTTTTCCCAAGCACCACTTCAGCTATTTCTGAAGTCTATTAATACTTAGATTGTAACCATATAATCTTGGAATGGTTTGTGTTCGAAGGGACTTTTAAGATCATGTAGTTCAACCCCACTGCTATAGGCAAGGACATCTCCCTCTAGACCAGGTTGCTCAAAGCCCCATCCAGCCTGGCCTTGAAAGCTTCCAAGGAGGTAGCATCCACAACCCCCTCTGGGCAACTGTTTGTGAGTTTTCTGCTGTGAACTCTTCCCTGGAACAAACTGAAATAGCATCATCCTTCAGTTTTGTCCTCCTCGCTTTTCATTTCAGGAGCCATTGCCATAACACCTCCCATAAGCATTCACTTGTGCTACAACAGAGAATTATTTGGGTTTTTTAGTAATGCTGCAATCTGAACTCTCCATTGTGACTCAACTCCAATGTGAATGAGTTTTCTCTCATTAACTCAGTCAGTACATGTGCAACGCCAAGCACTTGGTTGCTACATACTACTATTTGATCTTTTTCAGGGCACTTCAGCTTTCCACCTTTGCTGTCTGTGCTCTGTGAGACTGATCAATGACATTCTTGCAATGCATCTGCACTAGACTGGGGAATTTTTCTGGCTTCTGTATAGCCTTTTAATGCTTTCTGGCAGAAGCTTTCAAATAGTTCTGTCATAGCTAAAATCAACACTGAACAGCCTGTTTCAACTAAACCAGTTGATGCAAAATGTCCCTGGCTGATGAATTTGCCCTTTCCTTCTTGCCCACCAAAAGCATATTAAAACTTCTTACCTATTCACATGTCAAGTCTGGAAGAATTCTGCTTGGAGAAGTTTCTTTGTTTTGTCAGGTTTTAGCCGACAAGAATTCCCTTACGTTCCCTGAGACTGGGAGACTTTGACAACTAAGAGTTTAGACTTACTTTAACTGCGGTCTGTGCAACTGTCCCTATGATCCTACAGAGGGTCTTATGCCAATGTGAGTCCTTGGAAGAGGACCCAGCACTAAATCTTCAGTAAACATAAGAATTTTCTTTTGATCCTGTGATTCATAATCCTGAGGAAAATATGAGGGGAAGGTTATTTGAGGAGGGCTTCCAGGATAGAGAATTGAAGC